ATTGACAGCACTTGTATGAAAAAAAATTAACTCAAAACTTATGCAAACATTTTCTCATTACAGGATTCAGCTAAGCATCCCATAGCTGATAATCCTTCAATCAGTAATGTGCCTCAACCTCTTTATCCATCAAATCAAGGACATTGCTAAAGATACAGATGAACTAGATCCTTACCCCTAGGGTAACCACATGTCCTGGTTTACTTCTTTTGTTCCAGGATCTATCCCATTTGACGCTGTCTCAGATTTTCACTTTGTGTTACTAATCAGTAATAGTTAACACTAAAATATCATCATCAGTTTTGGAGAGCTGCACTTTGCTTTGGACCACATAGGTGGTGAAAATGGTTAAGCGCTCAACTACTTGCCAAAAGAATGGCAGTTCAAACCCACCCAGAGGCGCCTCAAAAGACGGCCCTGGTGATGTGCTTCTGAAAGGTCACAGCCTTGAAAATTCTGTGGGGCAGCTCTACTCTGTATGTATGGAGTTGCCATAAGTTGGAATCGACTTGATGGCAACTAATGACCACACTTTTTTTTGACATGATTTCATTAAGTGACATATAAGACATGTATAGCGTGAACAGAGTTTTCACTTTAACTAATTGTTAGATCCAAAAGAAGACAAAAACATATCATATCCCTCTTCACCTTTTCTAAACAAAAAAGAATTAACAGTTTCCTTTCAAGAACAGCATGCAGAAGGATCCCTAAAAAACAAATTACTTCCAGATATAAGGGCTGGGACAGCTCCCAACTTCAAATCTTGGTGGTGGGTCATCTGTTGTTCTATTCTAGCCAGTGGTGCCATGGCCATTCCATAGTCTGCAAGATACATCAACATCCACCCGCAAACCATTAGATGGATTAGTGGAAAATTTAAGAATTACTGGTTAGGTTTGTATGAAATATGGAGAAGAAATTGAGTTTAGTATTCCTGCCAGAGAGCCTATAAAGAATAATCAGAATGATCCAGCTACAGTGGTGTGGCCATTTACTATATTGTTAAATCTACAACTATTTATTTTGCTTGTGGATGCTTTTCTTCTTTAAATTTTGCAAAAATCTTTTCAGGAGCAATGGACCAAAAATAAAAGTTCATGTTTAATGAAATCAAGTTAGCACTGAATTTGTATTACTAAAGAAAATTGCTGATGGCTATATGACATGTGCAACATTTGATGACATTTAGTACCCAACATGGCGGCCAGTGAGAACATTGACCACATGAAAAGCAGAATCATTTTGCTGAAAGAACATTGATATCTACTTCAAAAGTTAGTAGAAATTTTAAAAGATTTCTTCCAAAGACGATGATTGATATCAGCATTTTCATTTAGGTCAAATAACTGTTCTAAACTATTTTTACTCATTTTAAATCCTATATCTTCTTGTGCACGCACAAAAAATAAGCAATAGCTGATGATGTGCCTCATAGTTAGCAGAAGAAAAACTTCACTAAGGATTAGATGAAGAAAGTTTTGTACCAAAAAAAACAAAAACAAACCTGCTGCCTTCGAGTCAATTCCGAATCTTAGCCACCCTATAGGACAGAGTAGAACTGACCAGTAGGGTTTCCAAGGAGCAATGGTGGATTTGAACTGCCTACTTTTTGGTTAGCAGCCAAGCTCTTAACCACTGTGCCACCAGGGCTCCAACAGTTTTGTATCAGTGTTGTCAAATACTTCAAATAGAAAAATTAATTTCAATGGCTTGATTTCTTCATCCAGTTCAAAGAATCAAAGTAAAGCTACCAAAAATTCATAATGTTATTTTTGACAATACCAATGTAAAGTGTAGCCCTGGTGGCACAGTACTTAAGTGCTCGACTACTAACCAAAAGGCCGGCGGTTCGAATCCACCAGCCGCCCCTCAGGTGAAAGATGTGGCGGTCTGCTTCCATAAAGATTGCAGCCTTGGAAACTCTTTGGGAGCCCTGGAAGCACAGTAGTTAAAGTGCTTGGTTGCTAACCAAGAGGTCGGCAGTTAGAACCCACCAGCTACTCTTTGAGAGAAAGATGAGGCAGTCTGCTTCCATAAAGATTACAGCCTTAGAAACCCTATGTATGGGGCAGTCCTACTCTGTCCTATAGGATCGCTGTGATTGGAAATCGACTCGATGGCAGTGGGTTTTGGGTTTTACAGCATAAAGTCCTTTAAAGAGTTAAACATTGAAGATAAAATTATTTGTTGTCCTTAGAGTAAAAATATCATGGTAAAAACAATAAAATTGAGATTTCTATGGAACATAAATACAGTTCTAATTATAACTAATAAATAGTAAACACATAATTCATAATTGTTTCTCAGCAAGCTGCAATATTCTACCAATCACAATGGAAACTGTTGTTTTAAAACTTTAATATATGTATTAACATGTTTTCACCTAGTGACATATTTAATGATCCTTGAAAGGAAAGTGTTAGTTCTGTTTTGTTTGGAAATGATGAAGAAAAGAGGGCTAGGATATGCCTTGTCTTCTTTTGGATTTAACAATAAATTAAAAACTTTGTTTACTCTATGTATGTCTTATGTCACTTGGTGAAACCATGACGATGTTATGTATGTATATGGAGTGCTGGTGGCGAAGTGCTTAAGAGCTCAGGCTGCTAACCAATACGTCAGCAGTTCGAATCCACCAGCTGCTCTTTGGAAACCCTATGGGGCAGTTCTAGTCTGTCCTACAGAGTTGCTATGAGTCAGAATCGACACAACAGAACACACCACCACCACCAACGTGTCTATATATACATATATCTCCAGTTTATTTGACACTCAGTTTGTTTTTTCCTTACCTCATCAATCTCCTCTTCAACTTCTATCTGTTGTATTATTATTATCTCTGAGCTCTTGTTAGTTGATTTAAGGTCATTAGGTGGCTGTTTTACTCTGTCATATGTGGTTGCTATGAGTTGAAAATCGACATGAAGGCACCCAACAACAATAAAAACAATGTAAGTTACTTTACATAGCAAAGTACATGCTGGGAATTTTCTTCTGTTCTTTCTTGGACTATGTATTCTTCCATGCTCGATTCCTGTGCCTGCCCTTCCACCCTCACGTCCTCACCTATGATCCCAAGCACAGTTATAGGGAACAGTTCCTTGTAGACTTTACTCCCTTTGTACAGACAGCATCTCCCGTCAAGCATGTGCAACACTTTTTTCACTTTCTACCTGAGCTTCTCCAAGGTCACAACTAGGAAAGTAAAAGGAGCCCACTGTGAGCCCTCTCTTGCACAGTTATAAAATTCCAGGAAGTTAATGCACATTTGAGACAATATTTGACCTATGGGAGATAGACGCTGATAGTTACAAATTGTTCTCCTTGTTGATCAGATCTCTGGGTGGATACTTCCAAGAGGCAATTTATATATTCCTAAAAAGATGGAAGTGAGATTAACCCCAGTTGTCCACTGTATAATTAACTCAAAAACACAAGTTGATGTTATATGAGAATTTTCTCTTTGGTTCTTTAACTTCCAACTTTTCCCACCCTTGCTTCCTGGGATCATGTGCCAAATAAGCTGCCTGCACTTAAGTTCTTGTTTTGGGCTCTGCTTTCAGGGAAACCCAGGCTAAAACTAATGAACATAAACATTTTTTTCAATGCTGCCAAGGATTTTAAAGAGAGATAATGATTATGTTTACTGTTTGAATTATGAAACCTTGGTGGTATAGTGGTTAAGAGCTACAGCTGTTATCCAAAAGGTCGGCAGTTTGAATCCACCAGGCACTCCTTTGAAACCCTATGGGGCAGTTCTACTCTGTTCTATAGGGTTGCTACGAGTTGGAATTGACTCAACGGCAATGGGTTTGATTTGGTTGGTTTTATATGCTATGGAGCCCTGATGGCACAGTGATTAAGAGCTCAGCTGCTAACCAAAAGGTTGGCAGTTAGAATCCATCAGCCACTCCTTGGAAAGCCTATGGGGCAGTTCTTCTCTATCCTGTAGGGTCACTGTGAGTTGGAATCGACTGGACGACAACAGGGATTTTTTTTTTTTAATGCTATATAATTTTCCTAGTGCTTTATTGTTTCCTGAGACATTTGGCCTGCAAAAGCTGAAAATAGTAATATTTGATTCCAGTTTTTGAGATAAACTTGAAAGACTACTGCTGATACCAATGGAGTGTTGCTTTTAGATTGATTCAGATTGAGTGTTAGAGAAGCATCAGGAGCGAATCTCTTACCTGCTGAACCCACTTACTGCCCACCTGAGAGCATTATTATTCTCCTTACACATGTGTAGAGGTGAGGCAGGGATTTTGGCATTTTTGCCAACCAACAATGAGCTAAGTGTTTGCCCTGGGAGTTGCTTAAAACTCATGTTTTCTCTTAAATGAAAATCCACATTCGAATAGTAGACTTTTAGGTAATTTTCTGCCTATGCACACTCCTCATCTTATAAATTACATCATATTCTTATTGGCTGTGTTCCTAGTTTATGTGCCAATTTCTTTGTTTGTCTTCATCAGCAGAAATGCAAGTCCCCCATTCTCAAGCACTTTTCACTGTTGTTGAGGTAAGTATGAACACGCAAAATATGGCCTTTCAAGAAATGACTTCCTCAATAGGAAAGACATCCAATACTAACAAAAATTTACCTAAAGCTGTCAAATTGTAAATGCCTCAGATCCAGTTGCAAAATCATATTGGTCTTTACTTAAACCTCCCAAATTCTTCAACACAAAAATTATAGTAAAAAAAAAATGATAAGGCAAACAGTATGTTTAGATGCCATATTCTGTAAGTTTATTAGGTTAGTCCCTTTATTTTCAGCTGCTTTTGAAAAACAATCCAATAGCATATATTCTATCGACAGTGTAAATAATATGACTTAATTTGGGGTTACCCATTAATTTTGAAGTCTTCCAGAAGTTGGTGATGTGAGAAGCTGGTAATGGATAAATATAAAGATAGTTGTAACTAAAGGGAATGAAAGAAATGGCTACTTTGAGTAGAGACTTTGCCCTCAATAATCAAAAGGATGTGAACACTTAACAAGCTGACCGATAGAAGCCCAATCCACAGAGTGGTCTGTAGCAAGAAGACTGGCAGCTTCTAGAGGTCAAGTAAGCTGGGTGGCAGAATCTGGATCCATAGCCCAAGAAAGGGAAGCCATGACCCAGGGGTCTGAAACCACTGGATCCACAGCCCAGTGAGTAGCAGCTTCTGGATCCATAGCCCAGAGAGTTGCAGCTGCTGAAGCCAAAGCCCGGAGACCCAGTGTAAGTCATCTGGCAGGGACTACAGAGCGTGGAGGTCCTCCGGCGGTAGCAGGACATCTGGCAGGGGCTGGACACCACACAGGCAGTCGGACATCTGCTGGGTTCACAGCAGGTCTCCTGACAGCTCCTGTAGACAGAGGAACCCAGCTGGATGGTCCTGGGAGAGCAGAGACCAGTGCTGTAGACCAGGCGGCTGGGGGAGGAAGAGCCACAGGAGGACCCTGGGTAGCGTGCACAGCCACCCAGAGAGCGAGAAGAGAAATTTCCAGAGCAGCAGTTGTAAGACATGGTGACAGTTCAGCTGAGATACAGTGAGAAGACTTTGAATTCTAATGTCAACTTCTAGACTGGGACATTTATATACTCTCAGCAATGGGTGTGGACACTGTAGGGTAATGATTCCTACACTGGAGTCTCTCATTTGGGTATGTGTAACTCCATAATCTTCTCTGTAATTGCAATTGTATTTGAATAGTTTTCCATAAACGGTTTTTATGGGTGCTATAATTTTGTTGTTACAGTACAAAGCCAATAAACTACTCCTATGTTAGAAGTGTTATGACTGTTTTACATTAATTCCAACCCCATCATGGCCAGGAAAGAGCATCCTTTTCCTCTGGCATTTGCTTGCTGTGTATCCACTTCCTGGATAACCACATCTGGCTTTGCTGCTCCATGTCTTCCTCCCTAGGGAGAATAATGATATAACATCAATATTCTTCTGGTTCAATAGCTCTGAGGCACAGCTTCCATCTGGACGAGAATGATCCACCTTGTCACCATGCATTCTCATTCTCCAAAATTAAAAAAAGAAAAAAAATTGCCGAGTCAATTCTGACTCATGTCGATCCTGTGCTTGTCTCTGTGGTAATTAGTGGCAGCAATAGAAAACTAATACAATAAACACTATTGCTACATGGTGTGTCTCTTATCCAATGAAGAGATACAACAAAGAGACTAAGATATTTACTTTACTTGGCATAGTGTTTTCAAGATTTATTCATATTGTAGCACGTATAAGGACTTTATCTTCACGGTTGAGCAATTAATTGAATAAAAAAGGACAAATATTGAATGATCCCACTTACATATAATATCTAGAACAGGCAAATGTATAGAGATCAATGTTTATTAGTGGGTATGAGGACTGGGAGGAAGGGGGAAATGGGGAGTCATTACTTAGGAAGAATTCAGTATTTGTGCATGGTGACGGAAAATTTGGCAGCCGATAGTGGTGATGACGGCATGACATGATTGATGTAATTGATGTCACTGAATTCTACATGTGAAAAATGTTGAATTGGCAAATGGTGGTGCAGTGGTTAAGAGCCTGGCTGCTAACCAAAAAGGTCAGCAGTTCAAAGCCTCCAGCTGCTCCTTGGAAACCCTATGGGGCAGTTCTACTGTGTCCTATAGTGTCGCTGCAAGTCAGAGTCCACTCAATGGCAACAAGTTTGTTTTATGTTTTATGTATTTTTTTACAACAATAAAGAAAAGAGAGAGAGACTAAGAAAAAGATGGTTAGAAAAAGAAAGAGACCTTGCCATGTATTTAAAGACAAAAAATCAACCTGAGATGGTCTGTAGACAGCCTAAGAGCCATCACTAGTGTGATAAGGGGGGAAAGAACTGAGAGAGGGACACAGAGAAGGCCAGGACTTGAGACTTCATTTCTGTTACACTTTTGACCTATGGTTTGTTTCATCTCAATGTCTTTACAATCAAAACTTCTCAAAATTAATATACTTGGTATATTTTTATGTATTGGTCATCTTGTCATCATCTATATTTATAAATATTCCAGGGTTCTCTCCTCTTAGAATATGTGTAGCTTTCTACTGCACATGCTTTGATTGTCTATCTGACATTTCCAGAGCCAGGTACTGTCCTATATTTTCCTGTCTAAATGTGAACTTTCTTTCTTTCCGAGTCCTCTTTTATTCTGCAGGGTATATGAACATAGACTTCCCATGGGTACCCTGTGACATGCCTGGGATCACAGGACCACAAATCCACTTTCAAGATAACTATTTTATGTCTCTTTTTATTTTTCTTTTCTGTATTTTTTTTCTGATTTTCTTTTCTTTTTTTTTTTGTTCTACTATGTTTTATTTATATCTTTGTTGCTTTTTCTGAACTGTAGATTCAAATCTGAAAAAAAAAGTTTGATAGATGTATCATATAAACTTCTTCTTTCCAAGTTCATTCACAAAATCTTTGATGCCAAAATACAACCAGTTAAATAAGTTATTTTGGGGCTAAAAGAAGTGTAACGTCATTGTGAACGGCATTGTTTTCTTAATGTATTTTCTACTAAAGCTATATTATCCTTACAAAAGTAATGCTAAAAATTCTCAATTTACTCAATTATAATGTATTTCAATTTTTAAAAAGTAACATAATGTAGACCTTCTAGAAGAAAGGGTCGGGGGGAGTAAATGCACCTAATTCAAATGACTATTCTGTGAGGCCTTTTTTGTCTGCTCTTCAGAACCAGAATTCATTTCTCCTTAATTTGTGCCCCAACAATTAGGGTAAGTGTCCTATCAATGCAATACTGTTGACACTATTCTTTCCCTATTTTTTATCTTTCAGGCACAGTTCTTCGAAATAATCTTGATGACAAAATTTAAGAGTTTACTGAGGAGCATAAATTTCTCAGGCAGAACTGTGAAGTTATTGAATTTTTCTTCAGTGACTGTAGCCTCCTTGTTCAAGGATCCTACTGTGAGCCGGTTAACGTGTCAAGGGGTGGTCTTCTCTTCCCCATTGGCCCTTAACCTCCAAACCTTAATCCATATGAAACCAATATGTGTGAGAAGAGTTTGTAAACTTCCCAACTTTGAGTCCAAGACCAGAGATAATATTGTTTATTCTGTATGCTAGAGAATAAACCATTTTGTTCTGCTATGTCAAAACCATTAAAACCATTTTTTTTTAACTGAGTTGTTTATCGACAATTAAAAATTTGGTTATTTCATTAAAATGTATGACCTGATTGTACCTTCAATGCGTTGTTATCTTTTGGGTATGGATTCTCATCTCTAATCTATGGATCATATGATTTTGATCTTTGGGCATTTCTAACAGAATTCTAGCCTTAGTTTACATTTACAACTTTTGCCACTCACCTACTTCTTTCTAGAAATTACCAGTCAACTTGTCACTAACATGCCAAGGATCTCATTTTATGAATCAAGTAAGTGAGAATTTCAATAAACAAAAGCGAATACTTGCTATATAAAGATTCTCTTTAATCACTATCTGTTATTAATCACAAAATACTTTCTTTTTTTTTTTTTTTTTACTATTATTCAAAATAGATTAGAGAGCTTTTGAATTCTATATTCTGGAAAATATATTCATTAGAGAAAGAATATTATGGATGTTTTTCTGAAATATGCTGCACTCATATTAAAGCATAATATAATGTAATATAGTCTTGGTATTTTTCCCTAGGGGCATTTCTATTTAAATTTTATAAGGTGAAGAAATATTGAAGGTTTCTCAACAGACAGATTTTTGAGGCTTCCAAATATGTGTTTGTCTATAACTTATGCAGAAAACAGGGCTGAGAACATGGATTCAAATTTAAGTCATTTAAGTGATTCCAGGAAACACCACCAGGGGAGTGATACAATATAATGGGGTATGGAAGGAGGGCAATAAAAGATACATTATTAAGCCAGGTACTACTGTAGGCAAATGGAGCTTAATTCTAACGGATAATTTCTTACACAGAATGCAGAATGCTCTTGTGAGGTGAAAGGGTCCTTAGGCGGAGACTTACAGATGTCCCCAGTAATAAATCTTCAGAGTATTCAGGGAAATATCAGGCTATATGGACAGGGTGTTGAGAGATTCTGTTAAGGTGGGGATTACTCTGAAAAGCAAAGGTAAAAAAGTATGGAAGGCAATGGCCCTCCTCACTGTTGTTACTCACCTATTTGAATCACTCCTACATATTTTGGTAAAAAAAAAAATCATGCTTTCAAAATTATGTAAAATTAACAATTTAATATTGTTTAAAATATCTAAACTATCCCTTTAAGTGAGAACAAATAGAAAATCTAGATAAAGCACAAAAAATAATATGTGTTTGAAAATTTCCAAGAAATATCAAAGCATTGGGAAATCACACAAATAATATATGGGCTAGGACTGAAAATCAAGAGATGTGATCCTGCCATTTGTAGTTGTTCTTCCCTTAAAGTTATGTGCTGATTTTGAAAATGGTGACTGAGAGGCTGAGAGTTTCCACAAACTCACAGGACTAGAGGAAGAAATTTAAATTCAGGTACCACCAAGGAGTTTGCGTATTGGAAAATATCCTGGACTTGGGAGAACAAATTCCTATAAGGAAAATTGAATTGCAAATACTATCTCACAAGGATTGATGCCTAGCTCTGAATTATCTCAATCCCTGATTGGATCAAAATGATCTAGGATGCTGGTGTCTTTTTGCTAGCAGCCTGCCAGAAACATAAGTAAACTCTCTCTGGAAGAAAGTAAATTAATCCAGAGTCTTTTAGTGTGAAATATCTATTACTCTCTCAAAACATAGGAGGAATTTGAAAAGATATACTTAAAACACAAGGGAACACTAGAAAATTGAATCTGAACCACACAATAAAGATAGTGGATCTGTCAAATCAAATATTAAACTACCTATGTGAAGAAATTAACAACACGAAATAGGAAGGTATTATTTTCAAAGAATAATTATGTCTAAAGAACTAAAGATAAGATTGAGAAAAAATTGGGGGGGAAAATTAAAAACATATAGCAGAACCTAATTGAAATTTTAGAAATTTAAAACATAATAACTTTTTTTAAAACCTTCGATGGATGGGTTTAGCAGGAGATTAGACATAGCTGAAGAGAGTATTAGTAAATTAGAAGATGAGACATAAGAAAATTTCCAAACCAAAACACAAAGAGACAAAGTAATTAAAAATACAGAAAAAATTGTAAGAAGTGCATGCAACTTAGTTAAAAGGTGTATCTCACTTATAATTGGAATCTAAGAAAGAGGGAAGGAAGAGAGGGGAAGAAATCATATTGAAGAGACTACAGCCAATCAGTTTACCAGAAGTGATGAAAGGTGAAAGGTACCCATTCAGGTATAAAATAGTGATGAGGAAAATGATGCAGAGCTGGCCTAACCAAGGTGCAGGTGATTGATGGATGGGCTTTCCCAGTCATTACCCAGAGACAGCCTGTCACATATGCTCCAAAGCTAAACAATCAAGTTTTTTTTTTTCCCCAACCATTAAACACCAGAATTTTCCCTAGAAGTGAGGATGGTGAGACTTTGAATTGCTTACTTTGGACACATCATCAGGAAAAAACAATTGCTAGAAGAGGACATCATGTCTGGTAAAAATAGAGGGCCAATAATAATGAAGGAAACCCTCATCAAGATGGATTGACACAGCTGCCACAACAACAGACTCAAACATACCAACCGTCACGAAGACGGCGCAGGACCAGCAGTGTTTCCTTCTGTTATACATAAGATCACCATGAGTTGGAGCCAACTCATCTGCAAACCACAATAAAGAGTTAAAATAATCTTCTTGGTTAAGTTTAGATAACATCCTCAAGAACAGAATTTCCACTGTGAATTCTTTGCTATCTAGCAGCCAATTACTTTAATGTCAAAAGAGTGTAAACAAGATTCAATATTCTCAGACTGTCTGCATTTTTTTCCTTCTCTAGACTCTCCCTTACCTCTTATGAATGTTAGTTTCCCTTTGTGTCTTAAAGACAAAGTCTAATGGGAGTTATTTCCCTCACAGGTAAGTAAGCATGTTGCATGCAAAACAACAAAGTGCACCGGGATACTCTTTGACACACAGACTCAAGAAACATCACAAATCCCAAACATGATAAATATGAAAAAGATGACTAAAGGCCATTAGACGAAAATAAACTCAATAGAGAAATATGCAAACCCACAGTGACAATCAGAGATTTCAACATGCTCTTTATCAGTAATGGGAAGAAACAGAAGACAAGCAGTAAGGGCATAGAAATGTGAACAACAAGATCAAGAAGCCTGACCTAATTCAAATGCACAGGGCATTGCACTCAACCACTTCACTATATCCATTATTTCCAAGGCCCTCAGAAACTTACCAATGTAGATCATAAGCTGGGCCTAAGGACGAATTTCACCAACTTCTAAAAGATTGTGCTCATGTGGAGTAGGTTCTCTGGTCATGGTGGTTTAAGTTAGAAAACAATAGCAACAACAACATTAACTAATAAATTCTTGTAATTTGGAAATTAAGCAATATGCTTCTAACTAATCCATGGTCAAAGAAGAAAGCAAATGAAAATATAAAATATATTCAAATCAAACCATGCATAGTGGGAAAGTTATAGCCTAAAATACATGCATTTTAAAAGAAAAAAGGCTAAAATATCACTGACCTATTATCAATACCCAGAAGTCAAAATAAGAAAGCACAATGACCTCAAATTAAGCAAATGAGGGCAGTAATAGAAGGAAGAGCAGACGTTACTGAAAACAAAAGCAAATGTAAAATAGAAGATCAACAAAGTCAGACACTCAGGCTTCTTGGTAACAAGTTGATTGCCAATCTCTAGAAGAGACATAGGTGGAGTGACAAAAGTTAGTTCTATAACATATTGTATAAGTCCAGATCTGTCAAGAAGCAGACATCAACATGGAGTTAAGATACAAAGACTCTATTAGGAGAATACCTATGAGAGGAAACTGTTAGTGAGTGGGAGGAAGCTTATAGAGTTGTCAGAGTGAGATCTAAGCTTGAATGAAGGTGATAGAGAAGGAATTGCCTGAGACTGCCTTGCAGACTAAGGATAATTCCTCCAGGCCATTGCGGAATGTTCCAGCTAAAGCTGGCCAACAGAGGAGTCTGATGTCTTCCAGGAACAGGCTTTCGTAGTTTTTCTGCTGTGCTCAGTCATTGCCTGGGGCATCCAAGGGAGCACATGGCTTCAGAACAAATGCAACAATAGATTTTGAACTACACCAGGTCCAGCCCTTGGCCAATTCAGCCTCCTATAGATGAAGATCAGTGAGAAGTGGTGGTTCAGTGGATCTTTCATGTGGACATCCATGTGGCCTTACTGACAAATGCACCTCAAATGTGGCCACCACCCATCTTTCAGTGGAGGCTTGCTGCTGCTATGATGCTTGAACAGGTTTCAGAGAAGCTTCCAGACTAAGACAGATTAGAAGGAAAGGCCTGGAAATCTACTTGTTAAAATCAGCCAATGACCCTATGAATCACAACGGTCCTATCTGCAACCGATCATGGAGATGGCATAGAACCGGGCAGTGTTTCATCCCATTGTGCATGGGGTCACCATGAATTGTGGGCTGACTTGACAACAGTTAACAACAACAGCAGTTGAAGATCTGAGAATTGTATTTTCAGGGCTGCCGCATATAACGAGAATCTGACAGAACCACAGGACTCAGATCAGATACGTTAAATCTAATTGTTTCTTTCCCTCACCCCAATAGTGTCAAGATCTTTGACTCATGTTATAAGGGTCTAAATTGGTTTCCACTTGTAACTGTCTCAATTCTGTCCCTTTCTGTCACCATATCTTTAAATATTGTCCAAGTTTCTCTCTGGTCCTAGCCATCACTGACATTCAATTTGTCTTAACCAGTATTTTTCAACTATTCATGAGACACTCTGGGTAACAGGATGTAATAGATGGACAATAATGTTGGAGAATGAGAAAGAATGAAGATAAGTAGGGTTAATCTTTAGTAGATTTCTCCTCAAGGTTTAAGTTGTGTATCTAATCCATTGATACAAAAAGAAAGGTACTTTATCTTACTCACCACACTTCAGAGAAAAGTATTCACCTAACATAGCCAGAAACAAGACACACGAAGTATAAGCATGAGGAAAAGGAAGGGCCCTGTCATAGTTTGAATTATGTCCCCCAAAAAATGTGTGTATCAATTTGGCTAGGCCATGATTCCTGGTACTGTGTGATTTTCCTGTATGTTGTAAACCTGCCTCTATGATGTTAATGAGGGAGGTTGGGTGGCAGTTGTGTTAGTAAGGCAGGACCTGATCTGCAAGACTGGATTGTGTCCTGGGCAATCTCTTGAGATATAAAAGACAGAAGTGAGCGGTGAGACAGGGAGCCCTCATACCATCAAGACAGCAGTGCTGGGAGCAGAGAGTGTCCTTTGGACTGGGGTCCCTGCACAGAGAAGCTCCTAGTCTGGGGGAACACCAAGGAGAAGAAGGCCGACAGAGAGAAAAAGCCTTTCCCTGGAGCTGATGCCCTGAATTTGGACTTTTAGCCTACTTTATCTGTGAGGAAATAAACTTCTCTTCATTAAAACCATCCACTTGGGGTGTTTCTGTTATAGCAGCACTAGATGACTAAGACAGGCCCCACTGACCATGATGGGATGAGCATCAATGTCAAACAGTCATAGCATTTCTGAACATAAGAACAGTTCATTGGCTTTGTGCTGTAACAACAAAATTATAGCACCCTTTAATACAGTTTATGGGAAACTATTCAAATGCAATTACAGAGAAGTTTATGGAGTTACACATATGTAGATTAGGGAGCACAAATATGGAAAGGATGACCATGTAAGGTACCACACCTATTGCTGAGAGTATATAAGTCCCCAGTCTAGAAGGTGACATTAAAACTCAGAGCACCCTCTCACTGTAACTCAGCTGAACTCACATCTTCTGTCACCATGTCCTACAACTGCTGCTCTGGAAACTTCTCCTCCCGCTCCCTGCAGGGTTCCCTGTGCTACCCAGGCTTCTCCTGTGGCTCTTCCTCCCCCAGCCACCTGGTCTACAGCACTGGTCTCTGCTCTCCCAGGATCTATCCGTTGGGCTCCTCTCTCTACAGGGGCTGTCAGGAGACCTGCGGTGAGCCCAGGAGCTATCAGACCTCCTGTGTGGTGTCCAGCCCCTGCCAGACATCCTGCTACTGCCCGAGGACCTCCATGCTCTGCAGTCCTTGCCAGAAGAGTTATGCTGGGTCTCTGAGCTTCAGTTCCAGAAGCTGCCACTCCCTAGGCTATGGATCCAGAAGCTGTTACTCACTGAGCTGTGGATCCAGTGGCTTTAGGCCTTTCGGTTATGGAGTCCGTGGGTTCCCTTCTGTGGGCTGCGGGTTCAGATTCTGCCGCCCAACATATTTTCCTTTTAGGAGTTTCCAGTCATTTTGTTACCAACCAATCTATAGATCTGGCTTCTACAGATTAATTTGTTGACAGGCCAAACCCATTTGAGCAATGCAGCAAGATTCTATAGTAAGATCATGTGTTATCTTGATTTTTTCCATTGAAAGTTATCCTAATATTCCTTGATCACCAGCTTCTCTTTTCATCTCCAGTCCTCAAACATTGGCTGATAGACTAACTCTGCAAAATTAATGAGTGACTCAAATTGCATTATTGATAACATTTATGTATTTTCATTTCCCCCCAAAATAGGTGGGAAGTCAAGTAATTTTATTCTAATAAACTTCATTCTGCTATGCAAATATGCTGTTAATGTTGTTATTTATTAGTAATGTATTGACTAGATTTGTGTTGTCATTATTTCTGGTAATGGGTTGGAATGCTGAGATTTTGGGGGGTATGCACTAATTTTGTCTGGGCTTTAAATATTTTCTCTTCTTAAAGCAGGGATTTTCTATAGGCACATATTTTCCATATCCATCTTTTCTCTTTAACCAAAGTCTTAAGAGAATCGAATAGCTTTATTCACTCAGTGACTGTAGACCATACCTCTCCAAGGACAGACTGTTTTAGGGATGTTTGAAGCACAGGAACAAAATTTAAATGATGAACTGTAAGTGAAAAAAATTACAATGGAAGACCAGTGTGTGGCTGTACATTTTCAGAAAATACTGCTTATGATCTTTGGGAAATCACAGTGCAGAGTGGGTTTCACATATTCCTTTAATTGACTAAATCCCTGTATCCCAATTCTATTTTCAATCTGCTCCAGTTATCTCCATTTGCGTTAAAAAAAAAGGCAATAAACTTAGATGGGAAAAGAACTAGGTTCAGCAGGTGTGGAGTTGTATCTGTGTGCTTAGCCAACGTGCGAACTGAATCTAACTGAAAACAACAAATCTTTAATATCATCAAAAATAACTGTTTTATTGTATCTTTTTTTTTTAGTTTTTTGAAAAAATAAATGTTTATTTTAAGTAAGAGAAGTAATGTTTAAACATTATCCAAAGCTTGCGTTCAGTTTAACAAGTAAAAAACAAGACTTCTGTTTTGTTTACAATTAGGTACAAAACACTTGAGAATACATTTTGACAGTCAGTGGGTATTTTTAAAAAATAAGTTTTGCTAATGTAGCTTAAACAAAATATATTTACAGTGCCAGTTAAAATAAACAAGCTCTTACTGAGGAACTGTCCTTCCTCATGATGGATAGTTGGTATTTCAAAATAACATTCATTGTGAAGAATTCCTTTTAAAACAATGGTAAACCTGGTTCAACAATGTAGACGTTCAAATACCTTACGGTCTCTCCCTGACAAATACCGTTTTTTAATGTCTGCGGACCTACAAACAAGGTTCGCAAGTCATTTTAATTAAGAAATTTCAATGGAGCATATATTGGTACCCATACTCTCTGACAGAGAAACATTCATTGTGGCAATTACAGCAACACGTCTCATAATTACTTTAAAGGACTGTTACCAAGGCTTCTGCTTCTCTTCTCCATGTATATCTTTTTGTAGGTTTGAAACATTGCTTTTGAATCTTTTCCTGTGTTTTGTTGTGTCTCAAGTCCATCTGCGTTGACCCTTCTCTTCGGTAGTTTTGATTTAGGCAAAACATTTTTATCTTTAAATACAATTTTACCATTCAATTATTGTATATTCCTGTTTCACTCCGGACATGTCAATTCCCTCTTCACATGTACACTTCTTTGGTCCGACGAGCACGAAGTCCGAGTGCGAATAGCTAGGAGGACGCTGTATCTAGGAGAGGGCCGCCGGGCTCCTTAGCCCCAGAGTTAGTCAATTTAGATCCGCCTCTAGGGGCGGGCCAAAGAACCTGTTCTATTGTATCTTGACATAAAATTGTATTTTCTTTGTTTATACCGTTTTACTTTTTCACATCCAAGTGTTCAAAAAAGTAGGGTACTTTTGTAGATGGCGTGATAATAACTAGAGGTATAATACTTATATAGAACAAGCAATGTTCAGGTATTTTTTCTATTCTTTATTTTATAAGATCTTCAAACATCCCTGAAATTAGGAAATGAAACGGGGAGAATTATACACTTGGCAAAAGATCTAGTCTTGTAAGTATACAACAGTCTTGTTCTCTTTACTTCCTCCTTTACTTCCAAAGTAATAAAATATGAAATATAAAAAGAACTGTAGAGTTCATGAAATTTAACCTACTTATTCTACAGAGGTGAAAATTGAGACATAGAAGAGTCAGAATTTTCCAGGATTACACAGGAAGTTATTACTGAGCTATGAGTAGAATTACTTTATTCTATTAAACTGTGACATTCTTTCTTACCTCCTCTCCGTCTCTTCTCTTCCCTCTCTTTTGCTGCCTCTTCCTTTTCATCTTCCTCCATCATTTTTAGGAAGGAGTCATGGTGCTTATATAGCTGGAAAGAAAGATTCAGGAATAATGAAAGAACATTTTGGAAAAAAAAATCCTCAGCCATTGCATTATAAAGTTTAAAATGGTAAATAATAAAATCCTCTGTAAACTCAGTCCTTCTCACTTGAAAAGTTTGAAGTTTTAGTGATCCTGGTTGGTCCCAGGCTCATAATCTCTACCCAAGAGAAATAGTCAATCTTTATACAACAAAACATAGGCAACAGCTGGGCTGTCATGGGGAATAGCTTTAGCTTCTTGGCCAGGCTGGTGTCTTCTCTGTTAATAAATTGTTGTCTGCAGATTTCAAATGTAGGAGCAGTTTTCTGGCTTTCAGGAATACACTAGAGTCTTAGTTTCTTATTGCTGCCATAACAAAGTAAATCAAACTTAGTCGCTTAAACAATACAAATGTATTATCTTACAGTTCCGTAGGTCAAAAGTCTACATGGTCTCAGTATCCTAAAATTAAGCTGTTGGCCTTTTCTGAGACTCTAAGGAAGAAACTTTTTCCTTGCTTTTTCCAGCTTCTAGAGGCCCCCAGCATTCCTTAGTTCATGGCACCCTTTCTCCGTCTTCAGAGTCAACAATGGTGGGTCAAGTCCTTCTCACTTTGTGTATATTACTCTGACCTACTCTTCTACCTCCCTCTTCCACTTTTAAGGGTGCTTTAATTACATTGTAGTCTCTGGGTGGTGCAAATGGTTAATGCACTCGGCTACTAACTGAAAAGTTGGAAGTTTGAGTCTACCCAGAAGTGCCTCTGAGGAAAGACCTAGCGATCTACTTCCAAAAAATCAGCCATTAAAAACCCTATGGAGCTCAGTTCTCCTTTGACACCCATAGGATCCCCATGAGTCGGAGTCTACTCGGAGGTAACTGGTGCTGATTACGTTGGACCCACTTGGTAATCCAGGATAGTCTCCCTATTTTAAGGGCAAGTAATTAGCAAACTTAACTTCATCTACAGCCTTTCTGCCCCTGTGCCCTGTAAAGTAACATATTCACAGGTTCCAGGCTTTAGGACATGGACATCTTTCAGGGACCGTCATTCTGCCTACCTCAACTAGTAAACAAACATAAAAAAGACTCAGATTGCATCCTTTGTAATAAGACAGCATGAATTGCTCATGACAGCATGAAGTATGATAATGCATAAACCAGACTTATTACCATTGTTTCAATTGCCATTGTTTCAATTCCAACTCATAGCAACTCTATAGGACAGAGTAGAAATTCCCCATAGGGTTTTCAAGGAGCGGCTGGTGGATTCAAACTGCCGACCTGATTGGCAGCCTGAACTCTTAACCACTGTGCCACCAGAGCTCCAAGTATGATAAAGTGCTCACAAATAAATATCAAAATTCAATGTTGGAGACGGAAAACTTGTCATACCCAATTCACCTCACGTTATAAATAACATCGCATTTCAGGTTGATACTCAACATAAGAAAATGTTATTATTTTACAGTAAGGAACTCACATCCTGAGCTGATGTCATCCTTTTAGCACTCAGGGAACTCACACCTTTCTCCATTCCAAGTCTCTGGAAACACTGTGAACTTCCCAGAATACAGACTTTCATCTCTCCACATTCCAACAGTTTAGTCTAGTACAGTGTTTGTGGCCTTCCAGTTCCTACCAAGTTAACCTCACTCTGCACAATTAATGGGAGACCAGCTGTCACTCTTATCTGGTCTATGCCCCTTTGCTTCCAGTCTTCTAGCTCTCTCCTGTTGCATACTCTGACAGGTGCAAAACCAAGCGGTTCAAATCCCAAGCTTCTGCTGCCCACACAACTCTGATTCCAGAAGCTGCTGATCATCTCACCAACTGGTTTGGAGTTATGACTTCTAGGAATTAATGTAATCATTTTTTCTCAGAAACTCTCTCATGAATCATCTCTATGCCCTGGATTTCAACAATTCCTGTCTATTAATGCTTGTCTTATTAAGAACTCTCTACTCTGTTCCACTGATTTTATTTTTCTTTTCAAGAATGTTTTGCTTTTTCTAGCTCCCTCGCGTTTTATAAATTTTAGAATCAGTTTGTCAATTTCTACAAAAATGTTGAGAGTATGTTGAATTTAAAGATCAGTTTGGAGATGATGGACATCTTTTAGTCTATGATACAGGTCTCAATTTATTGGGGTCTTATTTGATTACTTTCTGCAATATTTTAAAGTTTTTAATGCTGATGTCATGAATCTCAAATTTCTTTCTTAGATTTTGTTTTTATGAGAGGGGAGAATCGTCAGCATCAGTCCAAGGCTGATTCCTATGAGGTGGAGGTCAAACACACCTCCTCTCTCCACTCTTTTTACCAATTCTGACATCAGCTGTCCCTCCCACTGCACTCTACTTCTCTGCTGGGTTCAATATTTCCTTGCAATGACCACACAGAACTCACAGACTATACTCACAGTTATAGGGATTATTAAGACAGTAACAGGTTACAAATCAGGATCAGGCATGACTTAGGATACAGTTCTTCAGTCAGGACAGCTTCTTCTCAGTTGTTCCCACAGGCAGGTCTCTCCCTACCCCTATGTCTCTTGGCCTCTGCCCCTTTTGGGCAAGTGTTACACAGCTCTTCAGGTCTGCCAATAAGTGCCCATAGGCATTCCACTCCACCAGTAAGCTTCCTGCCAGAAGGCACTCAGTTCTCTCTCTCCATGGGCCAGGAAGCCCACTGTGCTGTCTTCTGCCAGTCTCCTGATGCTACTGCTGCCATTTCTCCGCTGCAGTTGCCACCCC